ACTGCTAGCAAAGAGTGTGGAGTTTATTAGTGATAAGTAAATAGAAAATTAAAAAATAAAAACAATAAGGAAAACAAAAAGCTGTGCAGGAAAGCAAACATAAACATTGTCTGCAGCATGGTTCGATTGTATATAAAGTTTTCACAGATATAATACTATAAATGCTACTATTCTTACTTGACATTATGATACACAGGCAGTTCCTGGATTATGAATGAGTTCCGTTCCTAAGTCTGTCTTTAAACCGAATTTGTACTTAAGTTGGAACAGTTGGTACAGTTCGTTATCTAATGTCAGTTAGTCAAATGTTCGTCTTAGTATAATCTTAGTATATAGTATATAGAGTACCTTCCTATGCATAAAAAACGTTAAAGGAACATTGGAGCCCTGGTGGTGCAGTGGTTAAGAGATACAGCTGCTAACCAAAAGGTCGGCAGTTCGAATTCACCAGCTGCTCTTTGGAAACCCTAGGGAGCAGTTCTACTCTGTCCTACGGGGTCACTATGAGTCGGAATTGACTCGAAGGCAGTGAGTTTGTCCAGATATACTAAAACCTCTTTAACATAATAATACAGTAAAAATAATAATAATGTTTTGATGTGGGTCACAAAGGAGTGCCCATTTGTTATTATGAACCAGTGTATGTACCTTGTATTTTTAACATAATAGGCTTTATGGGGGTTGGTTGGTAAATACGGGCTGTATGTAAGTTGGTCATTTGTAACCAGGGGATTGCCTGTATCAATACTGGGGGAACAAGAAGGGAATTCATCTCGGCTGGGTAGGTGGGTGGAGCATGGAAAGAAAGCCAAACCTCATTTCCGTATTAGGAAGTCAATAGGTACTGTCCAAACAGAATATTCACGAAAAAGAAATAGTGTGTTATCCAGAAACGTGGAAGGAAAATTGTAAAATAATCAGCTAAAAGAGGCTGCCTCTGAGAAGGAGGAAGCAGAGGAAGGTGACAGAAATACCCTATTTTGAGTAAAAACAACCTCACACAACGATTTAGTGCTTTGAAATGTGAACATAATGAAAATGAATGACAAAAACTAAAAACAAATAAGAAAGAAGTGAACAGGATTGACCCATAGCAAATCCATATACTTTTCAACCTACACTGAAAAGGTCAGAGTACATTATTTATTCACGCAGCACTTACTGCAACTGAAGAAGTGGTTCCCAGCATCTGTGTGCACAGGGGGTGCCCATAGTGGACGGTATGAAGAGCTGCAGGAGGGAGGCCAAGAATCCGAGTGTCTGTGTGCATGTGCACAGGGGGTGCACACGGTAGATGGTGTGAGAAGCCTATGGGGGGGAAGGCTAAGGATTCGAACGTCTGTGCACAGGGAGTGTACAAGGCGGATGGTATGAGGGGCTGTGGGGGGAGGCTAAGAATGAGATTGAAGAGACAGAAAACTAGCTTCTGGGTGATGTAAACACAAAGAAGAGGGAAAATAAATCAAGGGGATATAGAGCAATTTTACATGCTTTTATTAACCACAGGAAGAAAGGAAATATGATAACTCAGTGTAATTTACTCAAATCTTATGCTCTTTTTAAATTTAATTTCTTCCACATATTAAGTGATCTAGGTATTTTAGGTCAAAATCTTTTTGCTTTCTTTCCAATAGGCACTTCATGTAAAAAACAGGCTTTTTAATTACAGTGAACATTTGTCAACACAACGAACATTTATCAACACAGTGGTAGCTCAAAAATATGACCCTTCTCTCTGACAGATTTACTGTTGAATTTTACATTCACTATATACGAGAGCAAAATACATTTCCTGAAATTTTTTATTTCCTTGCAGTAGTATCGTTAGATACTAGATCAATATAAGGAGTAAAACTAATTCAACATGTCAATTACAGATATAACCTACTACATATAGAGATTTTTACTAATCTTGTTATCATCTATATGTATTTGTAACTGAAACATACTGAGCATCTTTATAAAGTAGGGAAAGCAAAATATCTATTAAGTCAAATATGTTCAATATTTTAATGTTAAAAGACAGTTAAGCCAAATAATAGATTGGCTTATAAAATAAACAATATCAATCTTGAGTAATGCATTCCCTTAAGCAATCAGCTATATCAGAGCAAACAGTCAACATTTACCCAAAAGCAAAGATGAAAAGGCAAGGAGGGGAAGGGAAACTAGATAACTGGAAACAGAACAAACAGAATGGAAATAATTAAGAATGCTGACACATTGTGAAAATTAGAACCAATGTCACAGAACAATTGGTATAAAAATTGTTAAATGGTAACCTAATTTGCTATGTAAACTTTCACCTAAAACGCAATATTTTTTTTAAAGGACACTTAATAGTTTCTTAGAGAACATTCAAACCATGAAACCATCTCAAACAGAAATTTAAAAAAAAAAAAATTCCTTAAGAGATAAGTACCAAACACATACTTTTAACACGTATTCCCCACAGGATAGTGGTGCAAAGTAGACATTTAAAAGACACTGCCCAAGATGTTTTAACTGAAGTTCCAATATAATAGTTTATAAGGAAGATGGAGGACTTTAGAGCCAGCTAAAATTTAGCAGTAATGTAATACAAACTTCTCATTTTGCATTTGAAGAACTGAATTACAAGAGGTTAAGTGATTTGTCTAAAATCATACACCTCGTATTTTTTTTAAGTATGGCTTTACAGACAGTTTAATTATACCTTTAAAAAACAAAAACAAAACTCACTGCCA